TGGAATCGAACCAAAATCCCGAGACCAAAGCATCAAATCGCGTGCACGCATAATGAAGTGTAATCCCAAATATGGTATATGGTATATTTGACCACTTTGTGAAAAGGCATTGTTTCCATAGCATTTGGTCATAAGAATTGTATTTAGGAAGCCTCGGTGGTTAAGTGGGTAAAGTCACATACTTTGTATGCTGGCAGTGTGATGCTGTCCTCTGAGAATTGGGGTTCAAATCCCGGACGAGTCTTCGGAGTGACGAGCGAACGCTTCAACCACTAGGCTACCCGACAGCCCCTAAAATAACTTAGAAATGTGGTGGGGTAGCCTAGTTGCCTTCACTCGTCACTCGTCACTCGTCACTCGTCACTTCGACGACCCGGGTTCGATTACCCACATAGGTTTGATTCCCCACATCGGTACAATTAATGAAGCCTATTTCTGGTGTTCCCCGCTGTGATAATCCAGGAATATTGCTAAAAGCTGCGTAAAACTTAACTCACTCACTCATAGTTACTTAATATAAGCTCTACGGATAAAGAACGAACTCTATGGTTGGTATAACCCTTTTAAAGCAGCCCCATCCAGGATTTGAACCCGCATTCTCTGAATACGGCATCACACTGCCACCAAACAAAGGCGTAAAACACTCACTCACTCACTCACTCACTCACTCACTCACTCACTCACTCACTCACTCACTCACTCACTCACTCACTCACTCACTCACTCACTCACTCACTCACTCACTCACTCACTCACTCACTCACTCACTCACTCACTCACTCACTCACTCACTCACTCACTCACTCACTCACTCACTCACTCACTCACTCACTCACTCACTCACTCACTCACTCACTCACTCACTCACTCACTCACTCACTCACTCACTCACTCAAATGAATATCGTTTTACACCAACAACCAGCAGAATGCTTCTGACTGACCGTATTCTGATTCTATAATGAAGACTAAATAGTCCCTGGCTCTTGTAAATTGCCACACACACAGCCAGGTCACGAGAGCTTGTTAAACGTGCGAGTCACGTGGCAGTCATCACACAGAGCTTTGCTGGTAATGTTTCCGCTAGATAATACATCAAAAAGGTTCAGAAACTAATGACATGTTATCAAACGCAAAACGTTAATAATATCCACCAAATTAAAGTGGCAAGTGTCTAGACATATCACTGTATGGGGAAGACATTGGGTTTTTCCGTCGCTTTGAAAACAACTGCCGGGACGGGAACATGGCGGTCGGGCGAGTGTGTTGTGTATTGTGTCGTACCGGGAAGTCTAAGATATATATTTCGGATGTCCAGGGAGAGCTAATTTAGGGGAGTACGGTGAAAAAGATTACCGGGAAGCATAATCCATGTCGGGCCGGGAGTAGATAGATCTTTGGATAGGGTAATTTCTTTTCAAAACATTGTTATAGTAGCGCTAGCGTGTACAGATTATTTTAGAGTTATTCATCTTCAAAGTACCCATAGTTAATCTCGGGATAAACTTTTCCCAAAACATCGCTTTTAAGAATATTGTGTGAAGTGGACGTTAAAATTAAGTACCGAAAAGACCAAAGTAGCTGTATTTGATTCATAAAGATCGGAAATATAATGCTGCCATTAAAAAGAGAACACGGCCTGAAAGCAATGTTTTGGCTGCAAGTTAAACAAGAAATTTACACGTGCCACCTGATTGTCTTTTTAAAGCACTCGATCATATGGTTGTACCAATATTATTATTGTAATTGTGAAATACGGGGCCCTAGTAAGTTTGAAAATTATTTTGAACTTTAGTTCATAGATTGTTTATTAAATGTGTAATACGGCGAGACAGGGCGCCTGCATTTAGCCTGCCTATATTGGTGTGAAGTTTTAAATAATGAAAACCAAAATGAATAATAATTTTACATGTAAAGTGTACACTAAATTATTATTAATTGACAACTGTACTGAAAACCAGCCAGCTTGACTACATTATGTTAAAGACTTTGTTAGATGATTGTGGCTTGTCATATATCTGGGCTGACTTGCACATAGCGATCTTAGGGCTACAATGATTGTAACTCCCATTCCCCAATATAGGCTTAAAATAGACGTAGCGCTAAAATCGCTTTGTACAAGTGGGCCCTGGTATAATCAGGATTGTATTACTGCGGCAGTGGCTCCTCTGTAAAGTTACGGAAAGAAATGACACAATTATTGATAAGCTCACTAAATAAATGTATCTGTGAAAATCTTTCCAAACTTTAATGATAGTGCCCCGTTGTAGTATCATTGTATCACCATTCATGCCTGAGTGTACTGTGTACCTCTGTGTGTGGTTTTGGTGAATTAAATGAAAAATAGAACTTTATTTAGGTGGCGTGAGAAGATGAATTTAATTAGAAAAAACAAGAGCATATATTTTAAGTTGCAAACTGACAGCAAGCCCTCATACATTAACCGTGAAGTACCTTGACAGTAGTCTGTTACTTAAAGTTGAATCTTAATGAAGAATAGACATGAAAATGTGTAAATAACTTATTTACATTTTTATATGTGCCCAAATTAAAGAGTGTTAATTAATCCTGTTTTCCTTGTAATTTGTGTGAACCGCGCTGTGTTCATTCAGCCATAACATTGCATTGCAAGTTTTGCTAAGGCTAGCTCATTCAGCCGAGAAACGTCGCGATTTTAGCCTTCCCGCCCATGAACCTTGTGTAGAGCGACGTCACAACAAATGGTTGGTTGGTTGGTTGTTTAACGTCGCACTCAGTAATATTCCAGCTATGTGGCGTCGAACTGTAAATAGTAGAGTCTTGACCAGACAATCCAGTGATCAACAGCATGAGCATCGATCTACGCAATTAGGATACGATGACATGTCAACCAAGTCACCTGACCACCCGATCCCGTTAGTCGCTTCTTACGACAAGCAGGGACCAAAGACCAATTCTAACCCGGATCTTCACTTGTCGTAAATGAGGAGCGTTGGGATCCTGCTCAAGCTCAAGGTGCTTCCTACGAGCGGCACATCCTGCTCGCGTTCGGAATACCGGACTGACAAACAATGTAATTGTTAAAAAATATATAGAAATGAACAACAATAGACAAATGAGGAACAAATGACGTTTCAACATTTAGACTCGTGGGCGTGATTACCGACAGAGCAGAGGAATATTCAATTAAGGCTAAATATCAAAACACAGATAACAGTAACTGTTAGTCTGGCAGAAAACCTTCGTGATGGTGTTTGGTCCCTTTACTTAAAAACCACCAAAAATACAACCGTTTTCTAATGTGGCATGATGCATAATAACTGTTCTACCATTGTGAATTTTGAACTTCATGAATTATGATTTAATATTACCAAGTTGTCTATAGAAGCTATCATTATGTCAAGAGTGTCTTAACTGTCAAGGTCGTTAGGCGACTAATCGGAACAAATGTGCATGGTATCACTATCAGTGAAGGCCCAAAGGGGTCATCTCAAAATCATTTAAGAGGTAGAGAGACACGGAGTGCCTGACAATTCAATAGACAAAGCAGTGGTGGTGAGGATTGTGATTAAGGGAAGATCAGAATGGGACGAGTACGAACAACCCGTAAGGTTAGATCAAAATGTGACCACTGCGAACAACTCGTAAGGGTAGATCAGAATGAGACAAGTACGTACAACCCGCAAGGTTAAATCAGAATGTAAACAGTGCGTACAACCCGTACGGGTAGATCAGAATGAGACAAGTACGAACAACCCTTATCGTAAAGAAAGAATGGGATAAGAACGTCCCCTTGTAAGTCCAGATGAAAGTCACTGGTACGAACGACGAGTAAGAACAAACCGTAAGGTTATATCAGAATGAGACCACTGCATACAACTCGTAAGGGTAGATCAGAGTGAGACAAGTACATACAACCCGTACGGGTAGATCAGAATGAGACAAGTACATACAACCCGTACGGGTAGATCAGAATGAAACCAGTACGCACAACCCTTAAGGGTAGATCAGAATGAGACAAGTACATACAACCCGTACGGGTAGATCAGAATGAGACAAGTACATACAACCCGTACGGGTAGATCAGAATGAGACAAGTACATACAACCCGTTCGGGTAGATCAGAATGAGACAAGTACATACAACCCGTACGGGTAGATCAGCATGAAACCAGTACGCACAACCCGTAATGGTAGATCAGAATGAGACAAGTACGTACAACCCTTCAGGGTAGATCAGAATGAGACAAGTACGTACAGCCCGCAAGGTTAAATCAGAATGTAACCAGTGCGTACAACTCGTAAGGGTAGATCAGAATGAGACCAGTGCGTGCAACCCGTAATGGTAGATCAGAATGAGACAAGAACATACAACCCGTAAGGGTAGATCAGAATGAAACCAGTACGCACAACCCGTAATGGTAGATCAGAATGAGACAAGTACGTACAACCCGTATCGTAAAGAAAGAATTTGATAAGTACGTCCCCTTGAAAGTCCAGATGAAAATCACAGGGGACATACCCCCAACGTGTAGAGAAGAAAACCATGAGGATGTAAGGCGTCCAGTGTGTTATCATTTCCGTCGCTTGTAAATCAGCACGCACTCATCCTTATGACCATTGTCACATGAGACAATTTAATCAACCGGAATTCAGGAAATATTTTTAAACAGACCCGTGATTAGTTATTTATAGTATTCGAGATCGCTGCAGAATTCTGTTATTAATCTCTCTCATCTAACTATCCGGGTTATCATACAATGATCTCTCAGCTCACTGTTCAACTCACTAACGCTATGTGCGGCTGTACGTTAACAGTTAACCGTGCAGTTGTATGACGTTTATCTTACAAGCGAACTTGAGAAAATAATCTAACCCTTGTCGTGGTTTAAGTGCCCCAATGCCACGCAATTGACAAGGTGGGTCACACACTGACAGCTCGACAAAGAGAGGCGGGCCTGGTTACCGAAGCGGAAATTGTCCCAGTTATCACAGCCTTCTCCCTTCCGCCACCTGGCGTCGTGTTTACTTACTCTCTATCCCGTCTGGCCACGTTAAGACGTCGCGAGACCTTCTCAGTAATGACTGAGAAACGTGTTGATGACGAACGGGTGGATCCAGACGAAATTTCCGAAGGGTCAACATCGGAGGTTTGTGAGCCGAAATGTAGAATTGTGATTTTCAACGTTGGCGGGACAAAATTTCAAACTCTTCGCAAGACGCTCAATGAATGCGAGCGCACAAAGTTATCGGATGAACTGTTTCTTAACGCCCATTATGATGAGGACGCACGTGAGTTTTTCTTTGATAAGGACCCAGAGATGTTTCGATCCGTTTTGAACTACGTGAGATCGGGCCAGCTCCATCTTCCCGCTACCCTCTGTGGCCCCTTGATTAAAGAAGAATTGGAGTTTTGGGGGTTGAGTGAGATTGACATCGAGCCTTGTTGCTGGGCTGTGTACAACAACTGGACATCAACGGTCAACGCTTTGGAACAGTTGGAGAAAGACCGGAAACAGAACGTACAGCATGACCTTGACGACTCAGCGTCATGGTATACAAAGGTCAAGGCCAAGACATGGATCTTTCTCACAAGTCACAATTCTTCTATTCCGGCGCAGGTGAGTCATTTGCTTATTTCATTTAACAAAAAGGATCAATGGACAAGAAGGAAAATGAAAAACCATTGAGGTAATAAGCAGCGTCCCAGGATATCTCCCAGCTTGACCAAACATACAACAAACATAGATTGCTGGGGGCTTGTCAACCCATACATACTTAACCACTTGCTTGGGGTCCCAATGGGGTATTAAGCAATTAGGATTATACACTGGGATTAAGATTATCATTAACAAAATAAGACCTTGTTTGGCATGTCTTACACGTAATGGTTAAAGCTGTACAATCGTGTATCATTAATACATATTGCAGACTCTCGGTCTTATATACTGATCAGGCAAAGAAACGAAACATATCTGATGTTGAGTTGAGAACGCCCAATTGTTTACATCACTGACACATAAGATTAAATGTACTGACACACAGCTAATCATAAATAACTAAAACAATTCATTTCACCCTTACACAGAAGGGTGTGGTTACCGTATGAGAGGTTGACGTTATCCATAAGTATAAGAGACCATGCCAAAAGACACAAACGACGATCCTTGAAAATATTTACGTCCCAAACGGCACAGACGGCAAACTTACACACACACACACACACACACACAAATGACAAGGGAATGCTATCAGTTTATATATGTTATTTGAGACTTCTTTCAATTCAAACAGATGAATGACCATAGAATATAGGAGTCATATCTCATAATTTATACTTTTCCAAATATACATTTAATTACTTTCATTCTGTGATATAAACATTGTTCAATGAGGTGAGGTGAGGTTTAACGTTTCTCATATGACGACGTGCATGCGTGTGTATGTGCATGTGTGGCTGCTTGTACTAGCCCAGACTTAAGCTGGTTTTATAGTGCCAGCTCACTGAGATACCATTCCACAGTTAAGCATGAATACCCCACTCAGACACATTATACTGACTCCGAGCCGACCAGACCTTGTTGTACCCATTAATGCCGAGCGCCAGGCAGGGACCAACAAGTACCATATTTTAACGTAGTTTGGTATGGCGCGGCCGGGGATCGAACCCGCGTATTTCCGCTCTCCGGGCGGACGCTCTAACCACTACACCACGGAGGCAGTCGCCGTCATATTGATGAAATATTGCTGAGTGCGGCGTTGAAACAAACTCAGCAATACTCCAGCTATATGACCTTCTGTAAATGACTAGACAACCCAGTGATCAGCATCATGAGCAGTTGGCATACGATGACATGTGATAACCAAGTCAGCACGCCTGACCAGCCAATCCCGTTAGTCGCTTCATACGACAAGCATGGGTTGCTGATGACCGGGGTTGCCGGATCTTCACGGGTTAACAGAGTATTAAGCAACGATCGAGTGAGTGAGTTGAGTTTTACACCGCACTCAGCAATATTCCAGCTATATGGCGGCGGTCTGTAAATAATCGAGTCTGGACCAGACAATCCAGTGATCAACAGCATGAGCATCGATCTGCGCAATTGGGATACGATGACATGTGTCAACCAAGTCAGCGAGCCTGACCACTCGATCCCGTTAGTCTCCTCTTACGACAAGCATAGTCACCTTTTGTGGCAAGCATGGGTTGCTGAAGACCTATTCTACCCCGGATCTTCACGGGTTAACAGAGTATTAAGCAACGATGGATTAAAGACGGGTATTTCCCTGTATACCCAAATGGTGCTTAACTGCCCCCAACACATTTTTCAGGATTAGAAGGGGATTTTGTTTTCAGTCATACAGTGTTCAGTTGCCGCGGGACTGGCGGCTGTCGTAACACTTTTCATTGAAAAAACCCACATATTTGTGTAAACGTACTTAATGTGAAAACGAAATTGGCCTCTTCGAAGCCACTTAGTTCGTGAGACTACGGGGATTCCAGAACATAGCTATTTCCTGGTACATTACTTTATACAGGACATAAACTGCACATTTGTATTGTATGTGTTGAAATACTATTTACGGTTTACTCAACTAATGCTGTGGACCCGTGAAGTTCCGGGTTAGGATTTGCCTTCAATAACTCATGCATGTCGTAAAAAGGCGACTAACGAGATCGGGTGGTCAATCTTGCTGACTTCGTTGATAACATATCCTCGTTTCCCCATTGGGTAAATCGAGGCTCATACTGTTGATCACAGGATTGACTGGTCCTGATTCGATTATTTACAGACCAATGTCATCAAGCTGGAACATGGCTGAGTGTGGCGTTAAACAACAACGAAATTCATTAATGAATGTGTACGCAAACCATCACTGGGTATGTACGACATTATAGTCTAACGTTTATGAAAAAGACCATTCAGCTTATACAATCCTGTACATATCGCGTTCTGTGTGTAACCCAATGTTGTACGAATTCGTTAGTGAGCGTGGCAGTGAGTGGGTTAAGCCTTAATGTTGCAATAGCAATATGTTATCAGTGTATCGACGATAGCATAAAACACAGTCGTTAAAACATTTCCATAGTGAGTGAGTGAGTTCAGTGTTACGCCACACTCAGCAATAATCCAGCTATATGGCGGCGGTCTGTAAATAATCGAGTCTGAACCAGACAACCCAGTGATCAACAGCATGAGCATCGACCTGCGCAATTGGGAACCGATGACATGTGCCAACCAAGCCAGCGAGCCTGACCACCCGATCCCGTTAGTAGCCTCTTACGACAAACATTGGTTACTGAAGATCAATTCTAACCCGGATCTTCACGGGTCACAGTTCCATAAATACACGAAGTAAATATAACAGATGTAACACAACCACACCACACTGATACTGAATGCCTTTAGGAAATGGCAACAAATATTATATACTCATGGAAACGAATAAGGTAGCACATGAAAGTACAAGCGTTCCTATATCTATCTCCAGAATATCGCCCACAGTGCAATACAAAGCTTGCGAAGAAACCTGGAAAAGAATAAAGGAACACTTGTACTTTCATGTGTTCCCTTATTCTTTTCCACGAGTATATATTTCCGTTTACACTTTCTCAGTAACGTACATTTTCTTGTACTTTTGATTCCCCCGTTCGGAATTCGACAACTGGTAGTCAAGAATAGGTACCAGTGTACCCTTCACAAAAATATAATCTGGCACGGTTCCCATGTCCGAACGCTTTTATACAAAGCCTTCATGAACTATCAAAGCATACATTAAAAATGTTTACATATACGAACTACACTGACACATTAAAGCGCGATATTTGTACACGTACATGTATTCATATCTTACGCTGCGGATAAATATTTGAACATACACATATAGATCGATGTATTTTGATACATGTTTCATACATGCTGCATGTTTCTTGAACGTGTGAAGCTGCCTCGGGCTTACTTATGCGTCATCCAAGTAGCTGAGACATTGTTTCGTAAAACGGCAAAACACACACACGCACGCACACGCACACGCGCACACACACACGCACCTTTCATGATAGCAACTTTGCCTGGATTATTATCTTAGTATTTTCTGAATATGCATATAGGAGTGGGTGAGGGAGGGAGGGAGGGAGGGGGCGAGTGAGTGAGTGAGTGATGATTCAAAAGAATCAACGTCACGGACCAGGAAGTGATGTGCTCTCAGTGTAGCTTTCTGCACTCTGTTCTGGCATTCAATACTTAGATGTATTGCCAAACACCAAGACAAGATAACAGGAATCAGTGTGCGAATTAAGTAGGACATGGAAACACGAAGCAATCTCGGGACATCCCTGAAGAAAAGAAAACTGAAAATGAAATGATACTTAATCACAGGATACGGCCCGAGTTTAATGCATCTAAAATAGTGTCAAGTGTTTGAACAATTTCCTCAATAAGCGCCATACGTTATACATCTTAACAGTGAAACCACTTTCTGTGCACTGCGTGACTAAGGCGTATACTTAAATAGGTTTATGTCGGTATAATCTCTCTCACCGACGTGTGAGTGAGTGAGTTTAGTTTTACGCCACACTGAGCAATATTCCAGCTATATGGCAGCGGTCTGTAAATAATCGAGTCTGGACCAGACAATACAGTGATGAACAGCATGAGCATCGATCTGCGCATGTGTCACCCGATCCCGTTAGTCGCCTCTTACGACAAGTATGGGTTACTGAAGGTTCATTCTGACCCGGACCTTCACGGGTCTCTCACCGGCGAATACTGGGTTGTCTGTACGTGGGTTAGGAGTAAAGGTGGGTTGGTTTAACTTGGTATAGCACTGATCAAATTAGAATTAGTGATGCAAGAGTCAAACATACTGCTATGGTAATAGACACAGCCTCAGCATTGTGCTCACACACGGAGATTCGAGAAAAGACTCACACACCGTCCGTAAAATCGGCCCCTACGCTTTAAGATCGACTAAGTGCAGATGACAACAGTGAAAGAGACTCACTTACCACGACTCACATACCACGATAAGCTACCTGTGTGTTTCTCCGTGTGAAACTGATAGCAATACTATAGAGACGCTGATGTTTAGATAACACCGGTCAGATCTGGCATGTCCAGCACTGTCTACTCTAACTCGTCACGATTTGCGAGTCAGATTTCGAAAAAGCCCACAGCAAATACTTATTTTCGGTGCCAAAACATTTTCCTCAGATACCCCACTTGTTAACATATACCTCAACCTGTATATATTTTCGTCCTTAGGTAAACATGTATAATAGGTTTACAAGGATGATGTTTTCAGTTTAAAGACTTTACAATGATGTCGAGACAAGAACGTTCAATCACAGTGTGAATTAAAAAAATGTCAGCGGATAAAAGCGATGTGCCAGTATTCAATGTATTTAATGAGCCATTTTTTATTCTAATGTGCAAAATTGTCCATGGCCCCTGACTTTCCAACATACTAAGTATAAGTGAAGGGTATCAAGATGCCAAAGAGTGCCGAAGTGTGCCGAGTCGTGCCGAAGAGGGCCGAGTCGGTGCCAAAGTGGGCCAAGCAGTGTCGAAGTGGGCCGAGTTGTTACCGAAGTGGGTCGGGCCGTGCCGGATTGGGCGGAGCCGTGCCGGGCCGTGCCGTGCCGTGCCGTGCCGTGCCGAAGTGGCCCGAGCCGTGCCCGGCCGTTGGACAGCGATGTGCCTGAAGGCTCCGGTAACAAAATGTGAAGCGCTTTGTTTTACGAGCCGGGAACACATGGTAAATTGAAACAATATTCAAACAACTGTTTCCACAATAACCTTGTGTGAATAACCCTATGAATACAATGGCAAGCATGCATACATCACAGTGCGTGTTGACAATCGTTCTACACCAGCCCGACCTGTTGAAATTGCTGTTTCAGTTTGCTACCTGTATCGGGTAACTTTCGCGGACGTTCCTGAATACAATGCTTAGGTCAAGACTACATTCAACCGTCACAATTGAAAAAACACAAGCGTTTCGAAAAGACTGTTCGCAAACTGCAGATCACGTTTCTGGTCCATATCTTTCTTTTGTCTGCGATCTTCCCCTTTCCTTTGGGTCATTTGACTGGCAGAGTTGGCGAAGCATTTACTCGAAACGGAGCAATAGTATTAGTTTCAGTCAAACGCCCATAGAATTGTTTGCCACAGACACATCTGTATAGTTACACCACAATTGTACGTATTGCGAACAAACGCATTAAATGATGGGATACCCTGTATTCGTATTCATGACGATTTCCGGGTTCAAACAGATTGTATCAGTCTATGTCTTCGTAAGGATCGACAAAACTAATATGTTTCAACCATGTCTTCGTTCCCTAAAGGCATGAGTCGTCCAAAATATCGACAATCGACGTTATTTACTAGCGTCCGGAGGTACTTGTTTTACCCTGTATAACGATGATAAACGGAACACAATAGCAGAGTTAGCAAACATAGCACAATAGCAAACACATTTAAATGAACCTGATCGCCATTACAAAAGCGTCACATAACAGTCTCTGGGAGGGACGGGGACCTTGGATTGGGGTTCTGACAAAATATGTTTTTCAGTCAACGTTTCTGAACATCAAGTACATCAGCCTTATGTTTTAGAATATGTTTATGTGGTAAATAAACAGCCAATATTATTCTGTTTCAGATCTATGGTTGGGTGTCTCTCCTGTTCGTCATGGTCGCCATCTTTTCTTTCTGCGCCGCAACTCATCCAATCTTCAAAGTTCCGTCCTTGCGCAGTGGCGCTAATAGCACTTCCGGAAATGCATCAGAAACAGATTTACAAAGGTTCGAAGAGAAAACGGAACGACATCCCGTCCTCTTCCACATCGATATTGTGTGTCTAACATTCTTCACAGCCGAATACATCTTGCGTTTCATCTGCGCTCCGAAAAAATTAAAGTTTCTACTGTTTCCACTCTCCATCCTCGACCTCCTGGCCATACTCCCAGATTATATCGAGTTCGTTGTATATGCAGCCAGTCCGGACTCCGTTGGAGAAACGACATTTATACACGTCATGCCTCTCCTACGGCTTATGCGTGCGTTCCGAATCTTTCGACTGATTCGACACGTGCCTGGCTTGTGGATAATGTTTTACACGCTGAAGGCGAGTTACAAAGACTTGTCGCTAATGCTTGTCTTCCTGTTGGTCGGGATGCTGCTGTTTTCATCCCTAATTTACTTCGCGGAAGATAAAGAGGTTTTCACCAGCATTCCGCACGGATTTTGGTGGTCGGTTGTTACCATGACGACAGTAGGATATGGGGATATGTACCCATCGAGTACTTTAGGGTATTTTGTTGGGTCGCTAACGGCAGTTTGTGGTGTTCTGCTAATTGGGTTTACGATCCCTGCTCTTGTTAACAATTTTTCTCTATATTACCAACACGTTCAGTTTGCCATTCAAAAAGAAAGACTTTTGAAAGAACAGAGGAAGAACGATAAGGAGACGAGTGGTCATAAACCGTTATCAAATAATCACAGCCATTATAGAGACCCGGATGTATTTCAAGAACACCTGCCATTGTACAGGGAAATAGGAAATGGTTCGAAGTCCGACAGCAAGTAACAATTACCTCGCATCATATATACTATTGCTTTCACTCTGACTGGGTGAGGATAGTTTTATGCCGCTTTTATGCATTCATTATTCATCCCATGAATCACTCAGTGCTTGGTGTTCAATTACAAATGTATGTGATCACATTGTGTTCTAAATCTGACAGTAGATAATATACATTTTGGGGGGAGACGACGGTATTTTAAAAAACTGTGTTGAAATTCTTTGCTGTGAATATCCTTTAACCTCTCGCCGATTTAGTAGTTATTGATTTTTTAATCTGTTTACCACCTTCCAAGGCAGCCCTTGTGTAGAGCATACAAACAGGATATCATAAGTTCATATTTATAAAGATTGTTTTCACAAAGTCCTTAAATTGTCATGAAATACTGATCAATCTAATATTCTGGTGTGATCATCAACCTTAATCACTATGATCATTCCCTATCTGACAAATCTCAAATAGCATGTGCACTGCCACACATATATGGCCCTGGGGCTCCTTCCACCAAGCAACCTTATCTAAGGTTAGCCTGAACTCCCATTCTTTAACATTGCACTAAGGTTACCTTAGTGACTTACGTTCACCTTAGTGCTTTGTGAAAGGAGGCCCAGGACTTCAGCAACATATGCCTGTCGCAGCAGGCCACTAAAGGGATCAGGTGCTACCCTACTGCATAGACTGACGCTCATGATATCAATCACTGGATTGTCTGGTCCAGGCTGACGGAACGGCGTCATATAGTTGGAAGATTGCAGAGTGCAATAAACAAAGCTCACCGTGCTCACTGCAGTCAATCAAAGACAATCAAAGGTGATGGGAACTCTTTTTGACTTTTGTAAATAATAATCATGTTTCATGGATAATAATAAATACCCTCTTAATATACATACGTCTAGCTTCATTAATACTAAAGAGACGATTGGTGTTATGTAGACTGGCACGGGTGGCTTAGGTGGTGGTGTTCATATAGTTTAAGGGCGAATTGTACCAGAGTATACTTCCGCCCAAAGCTCGGATGGATTCTAATCCGTAAGTAGTTGTGCTCCTTAGTTGGTACAGGATCCGCTGATCTTGGCCACGAATGCTCGGTCTTCCTTCTTGGTACAAGTGTTCAGTACAATGTTGGTGTTCATGGGTTTAACTAAAGTTTAACAGATGCATGTACTGCATTAGATGCTTTTGGATATGACGCGCCCCGGGATGAAACACCGACCTTCCGTTCCTAGGGCAGACACCATATCAACAGGACCACGCAGACAGCGCCTGGAGACAGTGTTTTTAACTGATATTTTGTGATCAAGATGATTTCCCCCAGGATGTCAGAACAGTGTTGTAATGATCATGATCAATAACGAAAAACATAGTCACATACATTTTACGGACAGGTCACGATATGGATGAAATACTGCCGATGTAACTTTGAATTTTAACTCACTCACTCACTTTATGGACAGAGTGAGTGAGTTGGGTTTTACGACGCTATTAGCAATACTCCAGCAATATCACGGCGGGAACATCAGAAATGAGCTTCACACATTGTACCCATGTGGGGAATAGAACCTGGGCCTTCGGCGTGACTAGCGTAAGCTTTAACCACTAGGCTACCCCACCGCCCCTTTTATGGCCAGACCATAAATTTCGAAGCAACGATTAACGGAATCTTTTGTTGAGTGTACTCGCTCCTTCTCACTCCTCTGACGGTAACAAGGAAATAATGATAGGCTTTACATTGATTCAGGTATTTTATGACTAATACAACTACAATTTTCGTGAACCCTACTCAATTGTTATACCGACCAATCCATAAAGCTGATATATCAATGTCAAACAAATTTGGAATTTGTGGTCATTCTCGGTGAGGTGGTCGATTGTCTTGGCGTTGTCATCATCCCACCTTGGATATCAAATATTATTATGTTTGTCTCGAATATTTACAGGACGTCGTACTCTAAATGTAATATTCATGACTGCGGCGTTCGACAACTTTCGCTTCGTTGTCTCTGGGTACTCATGACACCAGCTTCAGGCACTTTTTTGTCATATATATTGAAGCGTCCGTAAAATAATATGAATTAACCATTTGTGCAACAAGAAAAGTGTCCCCAGTGCTACTGGAGTGAGTGAGTTCAGTTTTACGTCGATTTTAGCAATATTCCAGCAATATGACGGCGGGGGACACCAGAAATGGGCTTCACACATTGTACCCATGTGGGGAATCGAACCCGGGTCTACGGCGTGACGAGCGAACGCTTTGACCACTTGGCTACTTCACCGCTCCAGTGCTACTGGAATCGTAAGTAATTGTTAATTGACACCACTCGTTTACTTGTACATGAGATACTCTCTTTGACCTAAATGCTTGACAAAACGTATGCGTAAAATGTAACCTCCACACGACTAATGTTAAGTAACATTCGAAAAATATTGAGTGAGAAACATTAAGATTGTCACGAGAAGAAAAGGTTGTAATTTTTAATAATGAAATCAGTGATTGTTGGTTTATGATTAATTGTGGCTATCGAAGCAATGAGAGCAAAATTACACACAATGATAACCGTGAAGATCCGGGTTAGAACTGATCTTCAGCAACCGATGTTTGTCGTAAGATAGTCAGTCTGTCATACAGACCCTAAAGCAAATATATCCAAGAAATCCAACGCAAGTCTAGAAAATGTGGCAAGTCTAGATTTCCACAGGAAAATGAGTCTCAGGGCTTCTTTTCATTATATTCTATTGTTGTTTTTCACTATGAGCCTTTTTTCTGTAAAATATGTTCATTTCAGAGACTGAGTGAGGTTAGTTTTACGCCACTTTTAGCAAATTCCCAGTAATATCACGGAGGGGGACATCACAAATGGGCTTCACACATTGTACCCATGTGGGGAATCGAAACTTGGCTCTCGGCGTGACGAGCGAACGCTTTAATCACTAGCCTATCCCACCACCCGCTTGAAATGTGCACCCCTCCTTTTCTCAATAGTGTGCACCCCTCCTTTCTCAAAAAGCTGTATCCGCCCCTGCCATGTCATTGTATCCCAACTGCTCATGACTCAATTATGTACTGCCGCCATACAACTGAACAACTGCTGTTAAAGAAAAACGAGTATTGCGAGTATTACTTTATTTGAATCCTCGCTAAAATATATCTCACTTTCTAATTTAAAGACAATTTTAATTTCCATTTAGATAGGGAAAAGATTCACTGGCCACCAGGACCTCTGCAAACTTATCATTTAGTGGTCCTGATGAATGTTTACAAGTCAGGGACCACAGGACCAGCGTAAATTTCGCACACTGAAATTGGGTACTAAAGTACTGTCGGAAATAGAAAAAGACTGTTATTAGGCTGTTACTCTGTATCCCTAAAATTGACACATTTACAAATAGCATATATCGAAATAACCCACATCGGCCTAACTAGCTCATTGAGTGGGATGCGTAATAGGATAGACAGAAACGCATGTTTACTCGTAAAATCGGGCAAAACTTACGAATAAAAAATACGAATAGCTGCTCAAAACAATAGATCGGGTTATAGATGGCAATTAGGTTGCTCAGCCAGGTATGACGACAGACCGTCGACTCACCTGGCACAAAATGCACGTGCTGCCTACAAGCACAAGGGGTCATCTCAAAGATATTTTATGCTTTTTTTTTCATGTGTGTTGAATATCTCATTTATGATTAATTTCTTACGTGTCTTTCTTTCATAAACTTTATGTTGAGATATGTAAAAGGGTATGATACCCATGGAAAAGCTTCAATCAGCCATCGTATTAAATGTCTCAAAATATATAGCATGACCACCCGAAGATCGACAGGATTGGATATTATTTGTAAATTGTTATGACATGCCGTTTAATTCCCCTTTAAGGATTATCTTATCACAGCTTATGTCTCTATCCTCCAGCCCGACCGCAACCAACGTCTGCGACATCCGTCCTGGTTTTGCTTTTGAGACGACCCCTCCTACCTGTTGTTTTTTTTAGTGATTGTCAGATTCCATAGTAGCTACATCCTTCATAGTTTCAAGTTATTTTTTTACGTCAGCTATCGTTTATAATGAAGCTCAGTTTAATTTCGGAATGGACATTTAAAAATTATACTTTGTAATATAGTATCATAGCACACTAATTTGCATAAAGCCATGGTCTGTTCTGAATAAGTCGCTTTGGACTTAGAAAAAACCCGCATTGCTCATTTCTGCACTAATCTCTCCTCAGTAAACTCCTTTTTCTACATTTCCTATCTCCCTACCATTGAGGCTGTAGTTAGGCCGAACTTAGTTTAACAGATATTTCACACTTTCACATATTAACTACATAAATTGTAGATATCAATGCGAAAAAAACACTTTTTTTTCTATTTCCGACAGTCCTATAGTTCTGGTATTTAAACATAATATGCATCTTACAAATACACGTTTAAAACCAAATGGAACCTAGAACTAGCTTAATTTCTGGCGAGGCAATCTCGACTTGCCAGACTTGAGTTAGACTTCGTTTTTACACTTAGTCTTTCGGGTCAAGGACACAGACTAAGGGGACTGGTTGTATCCTCTGGGATTTAAGCTGGGCGCTAGTTTCACATATCAGTTCAATTAAATGAGAGTTGACATGACAAGTGTTGAGTCTGGTATCTCTCTCTACTCACTCACTCACCGAAACAAAAATAATTACTCACTGTCTTTTTCAAGTAAGTGAGTGAGTTTAGTTTTACGCCGCACTCAGCGATATTCCAGCTATATGGCGGCGGTCTGTCAATAATCGAGTCTGGACCAGACAATCCAGGGATCAACAGCATGAGCATCGATCTACACAATTGGGAACCGATGACATGTGTCAACCAAGTCAGCGAGCCTGACCACCCGATCCCGTTAGTCGCCCCTTACGACAAGCATGGGTTACTAATGATCAATATTCAAACGTCTTTTTCAAGAACTACTAACAACGAAATGTATTTTATTTACACTTGTCTGCAAGAAAAGGGCACATTGTGTTTTCCCTTCTACGTAAAGTTTCTGTAATTTGCTTTCAGAAAAACAAAATCCCAACTACATCTATGAAACTCAAATTGTTGCTCATTCTCTTCGTTGGTTAGGGTGAGTGAGTTAAAATGTAACGTCACATCGGCAATATTTCACCCACATAGTGACGGGGTTTCTTTTTAGAAAAATGGTTGTCAAAACTATGGAATTCAATGTGTCGCAAAAACAATTTTGTCTCATATAAATAGACGAAGATTTTGGATTCGTTTGGATGTCATAAGATGTCGGCGATATTCCAAACTTCATAACTACATGTAAACAAAGGATTAAAGATTGTTATCAACAAGAATGGACAGAGGCATTATCTACATAAAATAATGACCTATTACAAAGACTTTAAGTTCTAAATACAGAAGTTAATCTGTCTACTGTCAAGAGTAAGGAATTAAGAAGATTATTATTTCTGTTACGTTCATCCGAATTACAGCTAAGAATCAACACGGGAAGATGGGAAGGGTTGCTGCCTGAAGAAAGGATCTGCCAAGTGTTTGAATTACAGGCAGTTGAAGATGAATACCATTTCCTCCTTATATGCCCCTCATACAAAAGCATAAGATTAAAATATCTCCCGCATTATTATTGCACAAACGTCACGGTTCAGAAATATATAAATTTGTTGGGTGTCTGTTTATCATTATACTTCACAACTGTGCTATGATGATCAAGGAAGCTCTTCAACAGAGAAAATTACAGCTTGATATGTAAATTCAAAAAAATGTATCAAAATGTCACGACACAATATTTTGAAATGCATTATACGTGGGCCAAAGGCATTTTTATTGAATAGATGATTGATTGATTGAACAAGGTATATATAACAAACGTCAGGTTAAAT